GTGGACAGGTTTGCGGACTATGGCGGACAGAGCCACGGATAGGATCTCGGACTGCGGACAGCTGCGGACAAGTCCACGGACGTTTCAATCCACGGACTGGGGCCACGGACAACTCATGGACATACCAGTGGACATGTCCTCAAATTGTCCTCATGTAGTCCGAAGCCGCTGTCCGCGTGAGCTGTCCGTCGGCTCATCAGGGTTGTCCATCATGAGACGATGATTGTTTCTCTCGGCCCACGACCCCTAATGTCCGCCTCTTTCTGCCCTCTCTGCCTGGCAGGCTACGACGCGGTGGAGCCCGAGGCGGTGGGCGAGCAGACGCAGCTGTCGTTCCGCTCCACGTGCCAGACGGCGCTGGACGCGTGCTACCAGAAGTTCGCCTGCAACCGCGCGCTCAAGCCCGTCCTGCGCCACTGCAGCGACTTCTCGCGCTGCTCGCAGCCGCAGTGCCTGGAGGCGCTGCAGCACTTCTACCGCACCATCGACCTCAACAACTCGATCGACATCGCCTTCTGCCAGTGCAAGTGAGTATGTGGTGTGGTCACGGTCTCTCTCTCCACCGTGTAGGTGTGGTGTCCGCGTCCGCGGCGCGGGACGAGTTGAACTCGAAAATTGTCGAAACTTCACTGGAAAAACAAAGGTACAGGACTCGGAAGGGTTTTAATGCTGTTTCAAATGCAGTAAAAATTAGCACCTCTGCAAAGGCATTTAACTTGCACAAAAGTGTTAAAATTTAATTAATTTAAATTCCTTTAACAGTCCAATTGGACAATTTCGTGCCTTTGCAAAAGGCATTAAAGTTTAACACCCTCAAAGGCATTAAGTCCTACTTTCGTTTTTCCAGTGTACAGTCGAAATATGAGCTCTCTACATACTATTGTTCATTATTTCTATTTAATTTTGTCGCCATATTTTTTTATCCCTAATTGTTCACGTAATTCTCCCAATGATTTTTCCTGTAGAGGTACAGACACAATTAGTGCAATGTACGCATGCGTTCCTTGGGAACGAGCCTCTCGCAACATCTCGAGCGCTCTCATATATAAGCGCAGGGGCGTGCGGCCTTGGTAGCGCCGCCAGCTCGGCGACCGGTGGCGTAAAATACACAGAAGGGTCAAATGAAATGTCCGTGAGAGCGAGGCGGCTCCAAGTTCAGCTGGTCCGGCCGGCGGGGGCGGCGGGGCGAGCGGGCGTCCGGCGGGCAGCATCAGGGGGGGAGCCAGCCCCAAAATAAGCATCATGTCGATCTCTGTCCCCCCCCCTTTCCGCCCCCGCCATCCCCTTTCTCCGGGCTGGCTGGTTGCCGATTCTCGTCTCTCT